CACTCAGCAGCCATATTCAGTATATTGCTGAACACACCTCATAAAGACATGAAAAAGGATGCCTACTGCATGTTTGTAATCCCAGCACTTAGGAGGCTGAGGCAGAAAGACCACCATACAGTCTAGGTCAGCCAGTATTACATAGTTTAAGGCCATCCTAAAAAGCATAGTGAGATCCTATTTCAAAAAACAAAATAAACAAACAAAAAAAGTGACAAGAACAATGGGAAAAGTGTGTTTGAAGCAAGGAGGAATATTCTGCTTTTGCAATGCTAGGGAATGAACTCAGAGTCTCCCACATGGTAGTCAAATGCTCTGTTACTGAGCCATGCCCTAGTCCCTAGAGGGAATATTTTGAGGGACATTAATGGCAATCTGTCTTTTACTGTAAGAAAAATTTTAATGTAAATATACACCTTATTTTTTCTTTTGTAATCATTCCCTGTAATGTCATAAATACTTCCTAGCTAGGCATATGGCATATACCTGTCAACCTAGCACACTGGGAGGATGAGGCAAAGGACCACAAATTAGAGACCAGCCTGGACAACTTTATGAGATCCTGTCTCAAAAAATTTTACAAAGGGCTGAGGAAGTAGCTCAGTGAATGCCCTGGGTTAAACCCTCAGAACTGGAGAGGAAAACAAAAACAACAACAACAAAAAAGTAAAAAAATTTCCACCAGGCCGGGATTTAGCTTAGTGGTTCTACTGCCTGCCTCACAAGTACAAGGACCCAGTTCAATCCCGAGTACAAAAAAAAAGTTTACCTTAATTTTATAATCAAGACATATCTAAACTAAAGCTATATTGGCACTACAATGCTCATCTTCAATTTTAAGACTAGCCACTGGTAATATTATACGTGTGTGTGTGTGTGTGTGTGCATATGTGTGTGTGTGTGTATATATACACACTTTCTGTATTAATTCATAACTGTGTTTGTATTTAAAGAGCAAAATTTGAAGCCAAGTGCGATGGTACACACCTGTAATCCCAGCACTTGAGAGGCTAAGGCAGGAGAATCACTGTGAGCTTGGGCTACACAGTGAATTCAAGGCCAGCCTGAACTACACAGCCAGACTGTCTCAAAATAAAAAACAAAAAGAGCAAAATTTGAATTGTGTGATGCGTAGTTCTAAATCACAGCTTTTCATTCAATATTATGTATATGCTTATCATCCAATAATCTTCAACACAAATCATAATATACAAGTAATCAAAATATATAGTGAGGTTTAAATTTTTAAAATTTATTACACTAAAAAAATACTTTGTCAATAATCTTTCTCAAAACACACCACATTTCAAACACACTTATTCCATCGTTCTTGTCACTTTTTAAAGGAGTTCTGAAAGTCATTCATGTCTTTACAAGACATAATAAAAAATATAGTCAATGATGGTGCTGAGTGATATCCAACAGAGTCAGATCATAATAGAGTGTGGCCTTATCCGACAACATAAAACCCCAAACTGGCACACGGGCTTTTCCCCAAAATCAAAATGACTATGAAAGGTAAATGTTTTGAGCTGATTCAGGACACTGAAGAAGCCATGACAACACAACCAAAGACACTCACAAAAAACTGCTTCAGAAAGTGGCAAGAACAATGGGGAGAGTGTGTTCAAAATGAGGGGAAGTATTCTAAGGGAGACTAATAGCACATTTTTTACTGTAATAAATTTTTAAAATTTAAACATTCACTGTATTTTTCAATCTTACCTTGTAACAGTTTTTTGTTTTGGTAAAATATTAGGAAGAATTTAAGCCAAAAAATTAGTTGTATGACAAAATAATCCTTCCTGTTACAGTTAGCCCAACATTTTTGCCATTTTAAACTACATCAGCATCAGCTAGAAAATAATTTACACTCTAGTTTTCTTAAAGTCTTTTCGTATTTAAACAGATATACATACAAAGAAGAAAAAAGCCTATATTTTTATGTGGAATTCTTAAAAGTACAGAAAATATGTCAAACATCAAATTCTAACTTAAAAGTAAACATTTTTCATATGTTGCCATTTTGACCAACTTAAAAGTCGTTTTTTTCGGGGTGGGGGGGTACCAGGGATCAAACTTGGAACCTAGCACTTGCAAGGCAGGTGGAGGAACACTGAGCTAAATTCCTGGACCTAAAAGTTTTAATTAAGTTAGCAATCTTTGGAAACAAAATATAAAAAGTATCCCAACATATTAGAGAAGAACAGCAACAACAACAAAAAAACAAAAAAAAACCCATTCTAACAAATGAAATTATTCTAAAAGTAAACTACAATCACATTTTATTACTGAGAAAGGTTTTCTAAAAGACAAATCTATAGAGATCATCAAGGTTAAAATTATTCAAATGTAAATAACTTCAGTACCAGCTACAAGATTACCCAAGCTCTCTAAAATTATCATTTCTAGTAGAAAATCCAAAGAGGAGATTTCAAACAGAATCCCAACGTAAGACTGGGGACACTTGTTTTCATGCACTGACTATCTGCCACTTACATACAGATGCTAAAGATACAGACCAAAAAACAAAAAGTTTCTATGTCCAAAAAGTGACTGGTTGGACTAAATTGGTTTCCTTCAGCAATCTGGCTTCCCATAGCTGGAGTAGGGTATAGAGCAATGCTGCCTCTCAGCAAGAAGGAAAGCGAAAGGCAAGCTTTACTTACATGGAACAGAAGAAACAGTTCATCATCATAAACGTATTTCCTCTTTTCCACATTCTCCCTCAGTGAACAGTAGTATGTGTGCTTAATTCACAAAAGGGAAAAACTAGAATAACAACTGAGAATGATTATCTACAGGGGACTACTCATGAAAAAGGCAGGATATTATAATCTCTGATTGACACACAATAAATGTAAATTACACAGGCATTTGTGGGGAGAAGCACACTAAGGTCACAAGATACGTATCTAAAACTCATTTGTAAAATCAGACAATCCATTAACTAAAACGTGCAAGTCTACTTACTGCAGCATCTATATTATATGTACGTGAGGGCATGCTAAGCACACACTCTACAATTATACTATATCCCTAGCTGCAATGTATTAAATATGCATTATATTTTAGCTTACATGTATATACTAGCTCACTGAACATGTAAATGTGTATATGCATGTGTGTTTATAAGTCCACTGAACTACAGAAATACTTAATAAATTAATTGTGTGTAAAAGTGTAAATTGTATAACTGTATATAAATAGTATAACAGACAATGTGAAATAGGAAGAAAAGGGCTAAAGGTATAGAGGAAGTGGGAAGGGTAGGGGAAAGGAAATAAGGGACAAGAAAAAATATGAGAAAAGGAAAAAAATGGAAACAAAGTCTATGTAAATAGGGGAGGAGGGAGTGGGTGAAGGGAGGGCAGGGGTATGGGAAAAAAATGAGAACCAACATCTGTCATGTAAGAGTACAAGATCCCAATGATGAATGTAACTGAACTATATATTCAAAAAGTACTAATAAACTCAGTAAGATTAATAAATAAATAAATAAATAAATAAGTTGTTTGGAATTACATAAATGCAAAAGAATCCGATCTGAATCTATTACTTCAAAACAGGTTCCTACTCAAAAATAGCACATAGCTTATGATTCTATAATGATACATGCATATATACATATATGTAAATAAATAGAAAGATATATTTCAGAGGTGATAGGGATTGAACCTAGGTAAGCAGATGCTCTACCAGAGCTACATCCCCAGCCTACTTCCACTGTCATATATCTTAGATGCACATATGTATAAGAAAAAGAAAGTCAAGAAGGCATCATTATATCAACAGTGGATTTATACTCAAGACCAGAGGTCATTTTTATTTCATCACATTTGCTTATCTGTGTTTGCTCATATTTGGCCAAAGTAAGGATTACAGTGGTACCTCAGTTCAGTACATGAACTTGATTCTTGCCATGATTCTGGTCACAGAGTCAGACGAAAATCAAATCAAATTCAACAGCTAGGTTCAATGTTGACCTTACGGGGAAATCGGATTCAGTTCTTGTCCCACTGGGTTTGTAATCAGAACTGTGGAGAGACTTGAGTTCATGAACTGAGGTACCAATGTAGTAGTATATGAAATATTAAGATAACAGCTTCCATGTTCTCTGAATTTTATTTATAAAAACAGACAAAGTTAAATATCCCATTTGCTATCATCAACACACTTACATAGTATGGTTCTGCTTCCCTTTCAGTTATCTCATCTTGATACAGAGTGAAGCAAGTTGGAATTCGTCCAAACCACACATCTCGAAGCACATCTTTGTCATCTGTCATTCTTCCAGTGGTTAAAGCAGTACATACAGGCTAATTTGTTTCTTCAGCCAAGGTCAAACTAAAAATAAAATGAAGCGCATTAGTCAGATCTTTGCAAAGAGAAATGAATCCACCACAAAACAAAAAGTCTATAGAACAAAAATGAATGGCATGAATATTATTCACTTCAAGAAAGAAAACACTACAAGACTGAGCCAGTCACCGTGGCAAACAGCTATTGTCCCTCCTACTCAGGAGGCCAAGAATGGTGGATTGCTTCAGTGCAGTATTTTGGGGGTAACCTAGGCAACATGATGAGACCCCACTGTCTTTTTAAAAAAAGAAAAACCAAGCCAGACATGGTGGTGCAAGCATGTAATCCCAGCTAATCAGGATGCTGAGACAGAGTGTGTGAGGTGGCGGCCAGCCTGGCCAAGTCAGCAACACACTGTTTCAAAAAATAAAAAGGACTGGGGCTATAGTTCAGTTTTAGAGTGTCCCTGGATTCGATGCCCAGTACCACAAACCAAACCAAACCATGTGACCAGCATTCTTTAAAATGCAAAAAATAAGCACAACAAATTCTAAATGTAGATCTATTATCTATTTAAAATGATCACAGAAGTAACCAATTCAAAATTTATATGCAAGTAATGAACTAGAGTCAAAATAAAACTATACTGTACTTGCATCTTCCTTTTATTCTGAGAAGAATCTTATCTAAAGAGAACCCTATGATCCCTTATGGCCCAAGTCCAAAAGATCATTCTCACAATTTTACCTGCCCCATCTAATATATATAACTTGTCCTATGCCAGATACTATTATTCAGAAGAAAAACAAAAACAAAAACAAACTTACTCATCATGGAAAAATCTTTACACAAACCTATTCCCCATTCTAAATTTCTTTTTTGTTTCCTCTGGTACTAGATATGGAACTCAAGACACTCTACCACTGACCTACATTCCCAGCCTTTTTTCCTAGCCCTATTCTGAGATAGAGCCTCATTAAGTTGTCCAGACTGGCCTCAAACTTACGATCCTCCTGTATCAGCCTCCTGAGTAGGTGGGACTACAGATGTGTACCACCATGCCCAGCCCCATTCTAATTTCATCCAATCCATAATCTGATCCAATCCATATTTCCAGTTTTATTTATGATGCTTCCTCTCTCAAAGCCTCTAGCAAAAGTTGTCCCACGAATACCTTGCTCTATGTACTACTATTGCTCTGTCCTAATATGATCTTCTCTCATCTATTCAAACCCTACCCACTCTGTAAACCAAGCACATGACCCTCTTTCTTAAAGAAACAGTAAATACTTCTACCTTGAACTCTTAGAATAGTCCCTATGCTACAAATACAGCACCTGATTTGTTGTATGTAAACCTGTTGTGGGATTGTTCTGAGTATGGTAGAAGGACATGGGTTTTGACCTCTAACATCCAAATGCCTTTCAGTGCTAATAGTCTACATACAACTAAGCAATACTATAATATATCTCTTGAGTAAATATTGAAAGAATAAATAATATTACTTCAAGTATCTCAACAGATGGCACCTGAATACTAAGATTCAAAAAAACCTATCCAAATAATATTCCCCATCTTTCATGGGCAGCTAATTCCTAATTCATTGCATGTATCCTGTGAAAACATTCCAAATCATATGCAAACCCTAGTACAACAAAAAAAGTTTAGAAAAATATCAATTACTAACAATGAGTTATGCAAGGAACTTATTTCCTTTCTTTTCTATTGCCTTGGCCAATGTCAAGCACATTAAAACTGCTATAAGTTAAAGAGCAAAGCTGGAGGTCAACTGGATACAATGTCATCAACAGGTAAATAAGTAGAGGAGGAAAAATTTGCTCAACATAAAAATACTAGGTAACAGTCAAATCAAGCTAAGAACTGACAGACTAACTGCAGTGTTCTTTTAAAAGCACACCAGCATTTTCACTTTTATTAAAATATGAAAAGTATCTTTGGTAAATTGTGTGTGTGTGTGTGTGTGTGTGTGTTTAACTTCATGTAGCTTCACAGTGATAGGCCTCAACCTGAAACAATACTGAGTTTCTCTACACATCAGAAATTTTCCAAGTTTACAAGTCACACCAAATTAACTCACTACTTCTTATGAGCTCTTTTTTTTTTTCAAGTACCAGGGATCAAACTCAGGACCTTGAGCTTATGAGGCAGATGCAGTGCCACTAAATCCCCAGCCCAACACACTACTTCTTAATTCCATCAGTAAACTGTCCCTTTAAAATAAACTTACTAACCTAGCATGATGGCACATGCCTGTAATTCCAGCACTCTGAGGGGCTGAGGAAGGAAGCTCAAGAGTTTGGGTCTAGCCTGGGCAACTGAGCAACCATGTCTCAAAATAAAAAATATAAAAAGGGACGGTGATGGAACTCAGTGCAGAAGAGCTCTGGGTCCAATACCCTGCCTGGTACAACACACACACACACACACACACACACACACACACACACACACTCACACACAAAATTACTAGTGGCAGGAATTAATGAAACCTGGGTTATGACAAGTAATCTAAAATTGAATTTAATATAGAGGTGAAAAGCAGCAGTTTCAACAATGCTGATACATTCAAAACAGCTATAACTAAGATTCTGCTTTGCTCACCTAGAGAAAACAATACAAAGCAACACGCTCCCTACTAACAGACTTCAAGAAAATTTTATTATAGTTTTAGTATTTGTTTGTTTTCTTGGGTTCAAGTGCCACCAATTAAGCTCAAGTTTCTACCATAACACTATATTGCCAGTATACTTTAATTATAATTTTAAATAAAGGTAGAAGATCACAATACATATGTAACTGTACTGTTTACCTTAAATGTACCAATAAACTTAATGGTTAAAAACAAATAGCTCAAAAGTCACTATCAATACTATCACACTGGACAATTTTTTTTCTTTTGAGAAGAAACAGAAAATATAACTCAAGCTGGCCTGTAATTACAGCTACTCAGGAGGCTGAGGCAAGGGGATCCCAAGTTGGAGACCAGACTGGACCATTTAACAGTCCTTATCTGAGAGAGACAGAGACAGATAGAGACAGGAACAGATAGAGAGACAAAGAGATAGAGAGACAGAGACCAGAGACAGAGAGAGATTTCAAGACAATTCAATCTTAAGGTGGATATGGCCATTTAAGGAAAGGCCTCTATCTCTACAAGCTCTTCTTTTCTCTCTCCAAGCACTGTCCTTCAAAAAACAGAGATGTGA